CTGTTACACTGTTTGACTGTTGCTGAGCTATCACATCTACTGAGATTGTAAAGTGTAAAGTATAAAGTAGACGCTGGATGATCTCATTTATTCAGCAGTATCTGGGGGATTTTCAGATGGTTGGCAGCTCTTTGGAGATGCATCTGCCTGATGGATATTTTCCTTAACATTTGCTTAGTTTGTAAATAGTTTTAGAAGGTGTAGCAAGCCGTTTCTTTCTCCATCAACCCAATGAAGTAGAATTGTGACCATTTATAGGTTCAAGTAAATGAAATCCAATCTCATTCTGTTAAGTGTTTATTTACTGCTAGCAGAGACTAGGATCTTCCAGTGTCTAGTTCACAATGTATTCCATTTTCATTCAGTCATGAAATTATTTCTGGGCTCAAACTCTGTGGAAAGATCTCACAGTGTCTCAGAGTTGGAAGAGATCTTAAGCGTAATTTGCTGAAGCCACACTTCTGGTGCTGGAAATGTATGGTGCTCATGATAGAAACCATTTCTACTTGCACAGTGTTGCCCATCATTTGGTGTTCCTAACATACTTCCTTTTCAGGGTGACAACAAGAAAATGGAAGATGCTAAATTCTACTTGACCCTGCCTGGGACCAAGGTGGAGATGGAAGAAAAAGAGCTCCAAGCATCCAAAACCCTGGCCAGCTTTACTCCGAGCAAGGATAGCACAAAAGATAGCTTCCAGATCGCCACCCTCATTTGCTCCACAAAGCTCACCCAGAACGGTAGGTGTGGCGACCCCACTGATGCAAAGGAGCTTTCTGCTCGGTGCTCCTGGGCTCCTTGCTAGACCCACAGGGCTGGACCATAGGGGTCAGGGCTTCTGAGGTGGGTGCTGGGCAATTGCATTTTGTTCTTTAGTCTTCACGTGAGGTTCTGGGTAGTGCCGATCAAACAGCTAAAACTCCTTCTGAGGTTTCATTGTCTATCTTTGAAAGAGGATGAAAATAATTTCAGTTTTTTTAATCATCGCAAAACCTATAAATGTATTCATTAACAAAGGCTGTGGAATTCAAAAGTCTTATGTTTCCTTCCTTCAAGACAGCAAAGAACTCTAATAATGCATTCTGTCTAGTATATGCAGCAGGACGTGTTGGATATATGGGGAGGATACTGGCAAGGAAATCATCAGTCTCCTGCCCCAACACGTGTGGCAAAGAGCAGAGTGTCCCATTAGAGTTCCAACTTTCCCCATATTCTCCTCTTTCCCGTTTTGTTTTTGTTTTGGGGGGGGGGGTTGTAAAGCAGTCAGGGATTTTCCATAAAATCAGCTGAATAGCTCAAATAAGGCTTTGTTTTGTTTCTCCTTGAAGTCTCTGTTATCAATTTTAACCTGTCTTGTGTATAACATGGCATTTGATAGCCAATAACAGCTTCTTATTCATTTAACCTTTGTAATGTATAAGGCATCCTGTACTGTCTCAGTGAGTCAAGACTTAGCTGCCCAGGAGACCTGCCTTAGAAATTCTGTCTTGTGCAGAGGATTAGTCCCTTTGGCCTTGGAGACAATTTGGAGCTCTGCCTTAAGGAAGTGCAAAGATAGACAAAACAATTTAGATCCACTCAGTAGGGTCTGCCCAGGGATCAGACCTTGGTTCATCTTTAGAAGGGTTCAGTATTGGGTTTGTTGTGGTGAATCATGGTTGGCTAAGGAATAAAGATAGTGGACAAGTGTCTAGACTCAACAGAGTCAAGTAAGGACTGATGCATCTGGAGAAGTCAAAGCACACTCACCAGAAATTAAGCCAGAAACATTCTGAGCTGCATACACGACATGACTAAATTACATCAGTAACATAACCTTGTTGGGTGGATAGAGGGTACTATATTTATCGAAAATTATTTAGAAGGTCTGTCAAAGATTTTTAATTGTTTTCAGACCCTTTGGCCCAGTGACTTAACTCCTAGAAATTGAACCTAAGTAAACAATGAGAGATGTGCACAAAGATTTATGTATGAGGATGTTTCCCTATTACTTATAATAGGGAAATACTGGAAACAACCCAAATGTCAGGGTCAGTTTAACTAAATTTTATAATGTAATTAAATGATGAAATATATGCAGCTGCTAAATATCATATTTCAAAACATATTCAAGAATGTGGCAAACTTCTTAACACTATGTATGGTGTGATCCCAGGTTTATTTAAATGTATGGGAACAATTTGGAGCCAGATTGCCTGGGTTCAAATCCCAGCTCGGCCACTTACTAGCAGTTTATTTTGGGCAAGTGACTTGATCTCTCTGTGACTTAGTGCCCTTATCTTCAAAATGGGAGTAATAATAGTATATACTTCAAAGAATGAACCTAAATTAGAATAAGTAAAAACAAAAGTGTCTAGCCTATCGTAAGTATTGTGATTGTTAGCTGTCAGTACTTATTATCATTATCATTATATGTATATAGAAAAAGAATAATTCCAAAAGTTTGAGTAAATCTTATTTATTCTTTTTGATATTTTACAAATTTTTAACTATGAAATGTCAAAATGTTATTTTTTGAAGCAAGTACAGTAGTAGACTACATAAAGCATTAATGTACTTTTAGGACTCTCAAGAGATGTTTGAGAGGAACAGCATTTATCAAACTTATTCAGTTTATCATTTCCAGAGTAGAGATCAGAGAAAAGCAAAACAAGGACATATTAATCCATTTCTGTTGCTTATAACAAAATACGTGGACCTGGGTGATTTGTAAGAAAATGAAATTTATTGCTATGGTTTCAGAGGCTGGGAAATCCAAAGTCCAGGGAACACATCCAGTGGCGGTCTTTTTTGATGGTGGATTTATAGCAATGCAGGGTCTCACATGGCAGAAAATGACAGAGCAGAGAGACAGACTCTCACACGCTCTCCTTTTAAAGCCCTCAGAACCACTCCCATGACCACCATTATTAATCCATTCACTGTAGCATGGTCCTACAGTTTAATCATCTCTTCAAGGCCCTATCTTTCAATGACCATAAAAGGATTTCCCCCTCTTGGCTTCTCAAGGTGGCCATGGGCCTTGAAGAGGTGATTAGATAATAGGACCATGCCCTAGTGAATGGGTTAATAATGGTGGTCACGGGCTTTAAAAGGAGAGCACTTGAGTCTCTCTCTCTCTCTGCTCCCATTCTGTAGGGTGTCTGTTCTTTTTGTTGACAGTGTCCCTTGCTGTCCAGACGCTTTTTAGTTTGATGTAGTCCAATTTGTGTATTTTTGCTGTAGTTACTTGTGCCTTTGTAGTCTTGCTCAAAAAACTGCATTTTGTATAGCATTTCCCCTACGTTTTCTTTGGTCTTATATCTAGGTCTTTGATCCATTTTGAGTTGATTTTTGTGGATGGCGAGAGATAGGGGTCTACTTTCAACCTTCTACATGTGGATATCCAGTTTTCCCAGCACTGTTTACTGAAGAGGCTATCCTTTCCCCATTGTATATTTTTGGCAATTTGTCCAAAATCAGTTGACTGATCAGTGCATGGGTTTATTTCTGGGCTCTCTATTCTATTCCTGAGAGAAGATTTTAAGTGTTTTCACCAGAAAAAAAAAATAAGTAATGTGAGGTAATGCACATGTTTATTAGCTCGATTTATCCATTCTGCAGTGTATACATATATCAAAACATCAATGGGCTGGCCCGGTGGCGCACTGCTACAGTGCGCCGCTTGGGAAGTGCGGCGGCGCTCCCGCCGAGGGTTCGGATCCCACATACAGACCGGCCGCTCACTGGCTGAGCGAGGTGCGGGAGCAACACCGAGGGTTGCGATCCCGTTGCTGGTCCCAGTCCGGTATGGGCGCGACACTGAGGGTTGCGATCCGTTGCCGGTCACGAAAAAAAGACAAAAAGGAAAAAAAAAAAAAAAAAACATCAAGTTGTACACCAAAAATACATACAATTTTATATGTCAATTAAAAATAATAAAAATAAAAATAAAGTTAAATAAAATTATGAATCAGTCCCTGAGTCACACGAGTCACATTTCAGGTGCTCAGCAGTTTCATGTAGCCGCTGGCTTTCATAGTGGACAGCACAGATACACAACATTTCCATTGTCACAGAATGTTCCATTGGTTGACATTGTTGTCATCCCCATTCCTGTTGTGCGGACCTCATAAAAACTCATCTTAACATACAAAAAAAAGTCTTAAATAATATCCACATAAGGTTTAAAAAGGCACATGTCCTATGAATTAGAGAGAAGTGATCTGCTGTCAGCACAGACAAAAGTGTGGGGAGCAGGTGGGGTGGGAAGGACAGAGAAATAACAGGGGCATTGTGGGCATCGGAGAAAATGGGGCATTCCAAGAGATACACCACTGTGGATAATTCTTGTGTTTGCTTTCCTGTGTGATTTGATGAAAATTATAAAGAACCAGTTTAATTTATTCTGAGAGAGAAAAAGCTAAAGAACATTAATAAGCCATCTACTCTATGAGGGCGCTTCCTGAGCAAAGAGGGGAGCTGTTCTCCTGTTGTGCTGAGACCGTGACCAAAGGCTTATTGCTCCTTTCCCTGAAGGAGGACTATTCAGGCTCCAGAGGTTAAAAGCCACTGTGGTTTGTTACAAACAGGACATGTGGGTTTTCTCTTTTATTTATTTGATTAGTTTTTTAAAAACTAGAACAGACCAATTAGTGTGGGATCATCTGTTGCTTGGCACATGTGGAGGGCAAGAATAGACTTGTTGTTTCAAGAAATGGACAGGGGTGCTCGGGTCCCTGCAGGTGTGGGGCAGGCATCAAGTCCTTACAGGTACCACAGAAGTCACAGTCATCCTCTCCTTTTACCCTCAACACCCTGGGACACAAAGCCACGAACATTGCCATTACTATCCCCAGTTTACTGATCAGAAAATTGAGTTTTAAAGTGGTAAATATCTTGCCTAACCTCATAGGTGGTGGACTTAGGTTTTAAGAACAGATATTTATGGCCCTAAAGCTATGGGTTTTCTTTGTCTTTCTTTTCTTTTTAAAATTAAGTCTTCCATAATCCTCTCCCAAAGGCAATTACTACCCTAAATTTGGGGATTGTCATTCCTTTGTTTTTCTTTATAGTTTTCCCAGATTTGTAACCCTAAAAAATATATTGTTTAGTTTTGCATATTCTTTTTACTTTGTATAAATGGAGTCATCCTGTGTGAGTTCTTCTGTAACTTGTGCTTTCATTCAGCTTTGCTGAGGATTTGGAGTATCTTGAATTCTTACACACTTCTGATGGGAATGTAAAATGGGACAGTGCCTTTGGATAACATTTTGGATAATATCCAATGACCCAGAAATCCCATGAGTCTTTATACCCCAGAGAAGCTGCTGTACCTGTGTGCAGAATTGTTCATTATAGCAACAAACTAGAAACAACCCAAATGTTTGTCAACAATATAGTGGATAAACAAATTGTGAAACTTCCATACAGTCAAATTGACACTGTGCTGCAAGGAAAATAAATTAGTTAACCAGAGCTACATATGTCAACCTGTATGAGTCTCAGAAACACAAGTCTAGAGCTGTTTCTAGTGCCTATTTTTAACAATTTGCCGAATGAATGAATATATTGGTGAATTGGCTTGAGCACACTGCCAGCGTCCTCAGGGCTCCTGTTTCTCTTTGCATCCTTCCGTTCTTTCATCTAACACATATCAGACACCTGTTGGGTGCCTGGCATTGTGGTATGTATAAGAATGAACATAATGTGGTTTCTGCCCCCAAGTGGCTCAAATCTCTGGAAAGAACCAAAGAAACACCCAGTGTGTCTTACCAAGTACACAGTACTTCTGGGCATTTCAGAAAAAGGGAAGAATACATGCAAAGATATGGAGCTGTTTCCGAGCCTGCCATAATTAGGGATTGAGTGAGTTGATCTGTCTGGCTGCTGAGGGGTAAAAGAAAATGGTGGGCAGCGAGGCTGGTAGGAGGGACATTGGTGGCACCTTAGTGAATTCTGTGCATGGTATTGGGACTTTATTCTATAGACAATGGTGTCTCTGGGCACTAAGTTTTGGAGACGTCCAGGGACTAAGCAATATGCAAGCCAATGAAACAAACATCTGTGAAGCACTTTGACTATTCTAATTCACAGTACAGTATACATTTGTGACTGCTTTTGTATAGTTATACAAATCCATTGATTAAGAAGTATGTATTGCTACTTTTACTAGATAACACTCTGTACATAGTAATTGTAGCTTGATGCACTAAATGAAATGATAAAATAGTAACAGTCCAGGTGCCTTCTATGTTTCCCTATGACACATTTAGTAGATCAACATTCATTAAGGTTATAAGTGGCTTAAAGATCTAAAATTCTGCATCTTAAATCCAAAAACACCTCGAGATCTTTTTCCCAGATTACACTGAGCCATGAATCTGTTCTACTTTCCTTTGAAATAGCCATCAGTCTGATTTGCTTGTCTGTTTCTTTGAAGAACTCTGGGGGAGGCAGGATAATACAGTAGCAAGGGCGTGGTTTTTGGAATCAGAAAATCTGTAATTAAATTCTATTTCTACCACTCCTAAGCAGTTGTGTTGCCTAAGGCAAGTAATTTAATTTCACAAAGCCCCAGTTTCCTCATCTAAAAAATGGAAAAAGTAAAATACTCTATAGTGCAGTTGTGATATTTAAATGAATTAACTCATCTATAAAGTTCCTCTTTCCCTCTGAATCCACTCAGACATAGGTAGTGATAAGGGACACATTAATTAAGGCAGCAACCTAAAGGTAGGATGGTTACATAAGAGTGCTTTTTAGGTTTAATTTGTATGACTGGGATGTCATTATTTGAGAAATGTGAGTCCTAGTCAAATATCGTTTTGGGTTCTTGCACATTAGCGGTTAATCATTTTCTCTTTTAAGAATGAAAGAGGGACCACAAGGTTTTCTCTGACTTAGATAGGACATAGTAAATTAAAAGAATGTATAAGGCTCTTCTTGAGTTATCCACTATTGAGAGCAGTTATCTTTTCTAGAGACTTCTGTAGCTGTGTCCTGAAATGGTCTTGGTCGCTCCTTCTAATCAGTGTCTAATGTTTATGGTTTGTGGTCATTCTTCCCAGTTGACCTGTTAGGCTTGTTAAATTGGCGTTCCAACTCCCAGAACATTAAACACAACCTAAAGAAGTTAATGGAGGTGGATGGAGGAGAGATTGTGAAGGTATGTTTATACGTTCATAGTTAGAAATATACCTACTACCTCATTAGTTCAACATCTTAAATTAAACCAATCATGTAAATATAAAACTTATCTACATTACTAAACAAGTGTGCCCATTTTTAAGAAAATACTCTTTTAAAAACTATTCTATTGAAACTTAATTGTCCCCGAATTTCTGCAGTATGGAGCTGAATGAAAGCACCAAATTAACCTCTCTGTTTTTCTTATCTTCAGTTTTTGCAAGATACACTAGACGCACTCTTTAACATAATGATGGAAATGTCAGACAATGAAACATATGACTTCCTTGTGTTTGATGCACTGGTAAGCAGTTAAACATATTAACTAGTGTTTATTCTTGCAACTGTGTAGTTTTCCATATTTCCCTATTATAAGTAATTGCAATGAGTATCCTCCTGCATAAATATTTGCATACATCTCTCTGATTTTTTCTTTAGGCTAAATTCCTGGAACTAAAATTAGAAACAAATGACTAGTATTCCAGGCCTTTATTTCTTTGTTTCCTGTTAGACATCACTTTTTGATATGCTTTCTCTTTCTCATTAGGGAAAGCAAGGTGCTTAATTATGTTAGAAACCAGGAACCAGTTTAACTTGCTTTACCACTGTCTAGTCATAAACCAAGTGATGCCATTAACCAAGAAGATTGCTGCATGTCGTGTATGTGTGCGTTTGTGTGTTCACACAAGGGAGACTGAATCCACAAGTCAGAGATGCATCTTAGATGGCACAGTATAAAACCCAGCAGACAGTTACATTTGTCACACAAAGTACTTAAACAACGCATTCCAAGAACTGAAACCATAACAAGGATAAGTGATATCAGAACCTGGGAAGACCAGAGGTGGCCGTGGAAGGGAGACCAGAGGTGGCCATGGAAGGGAGGAAGGCAAAATATCCCAACCAAACATCATTTTCTCATTGTTGGGGTGAAAGTTCAGGGAAAGATTTTATGCGAATGTTGCAGCTAAGGAGGAAGGCAAATTGCAGCTTTGGGTCATTCACCATCTGGGAGAAATTGGTAAGCTCAGGGAGTAGTCAGGGCATTAAAGCTAAGGATGGAAGATAAAGAGGGAAGATGTCACCCATGTGAGATCAAACCCGATGAGGGTCAGGTCATGGGAAAGAGAGACTATGGTTATGGACGCCATGGGACAAGGTCTGGAGGCAAATGGTGGGATGGAGCAGCTGGCAGTGGCATATATGGAAGTCCCAGTGCCCCTGCCTTTGCACTCCTCTGTCATACATAGGAACAGTGTAGTTTTTTTGTAGATTATGTACCTGATAGTGATAAGAGGTAACATGCACAGGGGGAATTGGATGACAAAACTCTGATGAAGTTCAGTTGTTGGGGGCATGCACACTGTACACAGGAGAACGTCATGCAATGTTAGCTGCATCCTTGGGCTAGAGAAAACTCCATTCCACAGCCTCCTTCCTTCTGTCCCATTTTCTTCCCTGACTTAGGTCACCTGTGCGCTGACCACCCTCTCTTTGAGACAGTAAGTCCCCTGAGGCCAAGTTTGCTGGCTTGTACTGGTTTCTTCATAGCATTTAGCACAGTTCGTGACACATAATAGTCTCTCTGTTCATATTCAATAAATGTAAACTCAGAGACTTAACTTCAGCTCTGGAAAGATAGACTGAGAATGCTGTAAAAATGATTACAAATGAGAGGAAGGCCCCAAGATGTTAAAGTCCACTGTTGACAACGTGCCTGGGGGTTGTACAGTGCTGTTATTTATATTTCTCACCTTTGGCAGGTATTTATTATTTCACTGATAGGAGACATCAAGTTCCAGCATTTTAATCCTGTACTTGAAACCTACATTTACAAGCACTTCAGTGCCACTCTGGCGTATGTGTAAGTATGACTCAAGGGACCTGCGAGTTGTTGGGTTATTGGGTTTTTGTTCTTAGGGCTGAATTGCTGAGAAATGAGAGGGGACCTGTGTGCAATACATGTGCTTGTAGGTGCAGAACTTTGCTGTAAGCTTCCTGGTGGAAAGAAGAAACCATCTAAGTTATTCTAACCCTGGAAAAGGTATCGAGTTCAGGCCCTTCCTTCAGGGAAGTTACAGAAGAGATAAGGCTCCATCTGTTTAAGAATGCAGAATGTATAGTGAGGTGTCAATGCCAGGTAGGAGCAGAATGACCAAACTAAGGATCTTAGGAACTCGGTGTTGGGGGGAATGGTGTGAGGCACCAAGGGACACAAACAGTGATTAGGTAAGAACAAGTCTGATAGGCGAACAAGTGCTTTGTAGAATTTATTACTCAAAGGCTATAAGAAGATTTGATTTTACTTTCTTTGCATAAGAGAGGGAGGGCTCTACCTTTTCCATAATGTGCCCTTTTTGGGGTGTCCTTCATGAGCCCCTGACTAAGGAATGCAACTGATGTCCTCTCTGCACTGTGCCCTGGAGTGCCCAGCTCACCATGGCATTGTATATGGCCTGTCACCCCCTACCCCCTTGAAGAGCAATGGATAAAAAAGATATTGTGCAGAGCAATGCAATAAATAGTGACAAATGTAGCTGAAATTGGTAAATGATCTTTCAGACAATGACTTTTGCCAGATCATGCTAGCGACTGCTGGCTGATCACAGGTCTGATCACTGATCCCTGGTATCTTTTTTCTAAACCAAACAAGAAAGTTCTCCATTTTATTTGCATGAAGATACAAGAACACAAGTTGCATAAAAGAGGTCTCATGAAGCACGGTCATCAGCTGACATGGTTGTAATGCCCATTGGATTAAAGAAACCATGTAATGCCAGTGATAAGATTCTTTCCACCCCATAGCCTCAAATTCCAAGTGGGCAGTTGCTACAAGTGAGGAAATCCTATCACTGTGTATCTTAGTGACAACCAGCCAAATGTAACACCCAGGTGGTAAAATCTGGGTTTATTTGCAAGACTTGATTAATTCTACATGTTTTCTTTGGACATTTTTTTATAATTCTAGGCAAGCTCAGGGATTCCCAGAAGGAAAGTTTAAGAATCAGTGCCCTCAAAAGTCTGAGTTAGCACAAGATAAAGAGTAATCTAAGACTCCAGAGGAGTTGTATTTGCTGAGATCCTCAGAACTGTGGTGTTCTAAATTGGCAGTCAGCTTTAGTGCCTCTTCCTGCACCCAGTCAAGTTTCCATCTGGCTCCATATTTATAGATCTCAAAAAGTCTGGGCAGAATAGAGGGAACTAGACTTCTTTTAAGGTGCCCACCTTACGCAAGCATAATCCCTCCCTTACAAGAGCATCTGAATATGTCTGTATTACCTACCAGAGATTAAAATATCCTTGTGATATGGATCCCTTCAACTCTTTCATTTCTTAATCCTTCTTTTAAACCCCACAAAAGAGAAGGACACCTTCCAGTATTTCTAAACAGAAAGGTTGTTTGAAACCTAGACTGGAGATGAAGAAAATAAATTGCAAAGGAGTTGCTTTCCCTGTTCAGGGCATATTCTAGAAGATATTGTTAGAGTTATGACTTTTTCCCAGTATGTGAAGTCCCCTTCGTATATAGAATTCCGCATGCCTCTAAGTACCATGTTGCCAATTGCCTGAATTTTTTTCTCACCTTTTAAAGGAAACTCTCCAAGGTACTGAACTTTTATGTGGCTAACGCAGATGACTCCAGCAAGACAGAATTGCTGTTTGCTGCTTTGAAAGCCTTGAAGTACTTATTTAGATTCATCATCCAGTCACGTGTACTCTACTTGAGGTAATGGTGACCACAGGAAGACGTTGGCGCTATCCGTGCTTTCTCTGTGGGGTTTCCCTTACTCCACACACTCATGTTCAGCTCTGTGAGCAGCTGGGACTTGGAACTGCTAAATTTCAGAACTTCGGGGCTGAAGATGTTGGAGAAGGTCTATGAGAAGTCCTTTTGGACTAGCAAGACTCAGGGATGCAGGTGACTAAATGTGCTGCTTGCTAGAAGCCTGTGTTGGTGACATCACCTCGAGGGAGGCAGGTTCCTGTGGCAAGATGGTATTTAATACAGCAGGTGGCTTCGTGATGATGATGGGGGTATAAATCTAAGATCATGATCTATTGTTGTAGGAGAGGGTGGCAGTTGTCAAAGGAAGATGTTTGCTGAGATTAGTATTTCTTTGCTGACACCAAACTTAGCTACCTTGGCAGACTAATCTGTAGAAATAGGATAATTCTCTGTTTGGATTCCTAACATAACTACTCTATCAACGGTGGAAGAAACAGGCTGGCTGGTTAGCTCACTAGGTAGAGTGTGGTGCTTACAACACCAAGGTCAAGGGTTCAGATCCCTGTATCAGCCAGGTGCCAAAAAAAAAAAAATAGAAGAAACCACAAAAGAGGAAGTACCTTTTTAGAAGATTCCCACAACCCGAAAGACTTCCCTGCTCTTCAAAAACAGCTGGATTTTCAAACTGTTAAAATTTGTTTATAGGAAAGAAAGAAAAGGGTTATAAATTTGAGCATTTCTTTTAACTGTATGTTTTAAAAACTTAAACAAAATTAAAAGCAAATAATTAGCCTAGAAAAAAAGTTTGCAACATATAGTACATATGAAATGTTAATATCTTTACTGATTAAAAGCTCTTGTAAATCAATAAAAGAATGATAAATAGCCTTAAACAATAGAAAACAAAAACAAATTTGTAAAAGAAAAAATTCAAATGATCAGTCACATTTTTAAAAAAATGTTTATACTCAAATATCAAAAGATTGCATTATACATACACCATCTTTTAAATATGTATTTACTAAAGATTAAAAATCTTGGTCCTTTGGTGAGATGATAAAAATTAGCCCCGTGTTTTAATTTTAATACTAATAGGGATATAATTTCTTAAGGACAAAAATTTGGCACTGTGAATAAAAATTATTTTAAAAAGGAGAAGAAAAAAAGTATCACATTTTTCTAGAAATTTATCTTATGGAATGAAAACTATCAGGCGTGCATGAAAAAAAAGATTGTTAAATATGTACATTCAGTCCTTTCAAATGTAGAGTGTGTTAAATGAGGGAAGATGAGCATGATAGATTCTTAAATGATAAAACTAAGGTGTTAAGCATAAGTACAGTATGATCTCATTTTCAAAATAATATAGGTTTTAGGGCTGGCCAGTTAATGTGGTGCTGAAAACACCGCGGTCCAGGGTTTGATCCATATACCAACTGACTGCTCCCCCAAAAAATAAACACACACACACATATACATATATATATAGATATATATGTTTGAAATATGTAAAGAAAGGAAGACTGGATAAATCGCCTACTAAAACTGTAATAGGATTAAAACTTAAGGTGGCAGGGTTGTAATTCATTCTTTCATTCTTTATGTTTTTACTCTTTCTGCATTTTCAATTTTATTTATTTTTTATTTATATTATTTTTATTATTTTTCTATTATGCATTTTTAAAGTTTCTACAATGAATATATACTTTTTTTATTGTTTTTAAAAATGCTTAATGACTTTAAAATCCCACTAGCTAAACGACTATCCCTCCTTCCCTGATAGAAGTGAGCAGTGTTTTTTCAGCACATACTTTATGCACAGTCTCTGTATTCTTTTTCTCTTCAGAAGGTCTTCTTTTAAAGGTAATTCATTGAATTTTCTAATTATATTAAGTTTTCATATATTCAGAATAGTTGGGGCATGGAGTGTTCTGCTAAGGGAACATTCCTTTACCCAAAAATTTGTTTACATAGAAAACCAGTAGTAAAAATCATCATAAAACTACAGAAAGAAAACCTTAATGTATGAAATTAAAATATATCTTTACATTGATGATTCATTAGTTCAGTCACCCATTATAACGTCCAAGCGCCTGGTCGGGGTTGTTTTAGACATTAAGTATCATTTAGACATTGGGTTATCATTTAGACATCAGACAGTATAACTACAGAAAATGAAAGATTAGGATGATTCAGGACCTCATGAAATTAAGAGAGTTGCTTTATTGAGCCTGGTCCCCAACAGCTTGTTCATGGTCGTTTTTCCCCTGGTGTTTTCTCGTTGAAGGTGAGCATGAGCTGGGAGTGGAGTCTGGCCGTGTGCATGCTCCGATTGCTTAGATTTGAAAGACACATGAGTGTGCTGGCCGCGTGGGGGCCGCACGTGGAATTCTACCTGGTTCACCTCCCCTGGTCGCCCTTACCAGAGCTCACATTCCCCAAGACACCAAGGGGCAATTGTAAATTTCCCACAATAGGACAATAAGAAGCTTCATTTTAATCCCTCAGTCTTATGTTGTTAGTTTTGGGGTTTTTTTTTTAAGTCACATACATAAAGTGCCAGGTATTCTGTATCAGTGCAGGAATCTTGCCGCCAGTCATCTCAGAACAGGGCTGTGAAGGCAGTGGTGACTTGGTGGAACCACCAGGAAAGGTTGCTCGCTCTGAGCTGGGCAGAGAAGGTGCCGCTGGGGTGGGCATCTGAGTTGAGTCTGAGAGATGAGCAGTGGCCTCCGGAGATTTCAGGACAGAGTGGCCTGGGGAGCAAGACCTGCTAAATTCCAGGGTACTGCAGGGACCCCTAACGTGTCACGTGTAAGTAGTAAAGAGAAGCCCATGTTGCTGGAGCACAGATAATGTGGGAGAAGGAAAGTGGCTGGCAAATGACAAATGACATGTAGGCCTCAAAAGGAGCTTGGATTTTCTTCCAAATGTGGTGGGAAGCCATTGGGGGATTTCAATTAGGGAAGTAATAAAATCTGGCTTCTATGTTAAATGATTCCCTTGTCTCTTGTATGGGAAATGTATTCTAGAAAGCTAAGAATGAAAGCCAGCGGTTACTGGATGTGCTGTTGTAGTTAAAGTGCGGGATGCAGTGGCTCCATCTTGGAGGCAGGTGGAGAAAGTGGACTGATTCAGAGGAAGAGCTTGATAGGACCTGCTGCTGGATTTGACGGGACGATGAGAGAAAGGGAAGAATCAGAGATAACTTCTAGGCTTTGGGTGGATAGTGGTGCTAGTTGCTGAAACTTGGAATACTGATGGATGAGCAGGAAAGTCAGGTGAGTTCTGCTTTGGGTATGTTCCTTTTTAGAAAATTTTTGAGTATGTTAATCTTGAGACACTTTGTGGATTAAATTGCAAACAGAATTCATTTCTAGTTCTGCCAGGTGGATGAATTGAGAATGACTGGTAACCCACTGATTGAACAGTTTTCTCAGGGTAGTTCATACTCCTTGGATACTATATAAAGAATAACTGAATAGAGGTAACTAGTTTAAATGTATGCATGTGTGCATGTGTTTGAGTGTATGTATAAAATTCTGAATTCAAACTGTCCCTACTCTTGACCAGTGGTGGTGCAGTTGCCACCTAGTGTCTATGCACATGCGCTACCATTTGGGACTTTGGTGTTTTGGAGAAATTGGCCAAAGACTTCTCAATGACTTATGAGAAGGAACGAACTTTTGAATTAATGGACAAATCTGATTAAGACCAACAAAGTATTTAATCTGTGAGAACTGAGGCACTGCAGGTCAGCAGCAGCATGGGCAGTTCGGTGGATAGAACAGCCGCTAGTGGTCCTGGGCTGGGTTCAGAACCTTTCTGGATGGATTTGCTTCTCTCTCCATTGTCTGAATCCTCAGTTCAAATGAAGAGGGCTTAGTTAAGGTGAGACAGTGCAGGAGGAGGGAAGGAGTGAGGCTGGGGGGCAGAATGTGCCAGGGTTGGCGTGTCCGGGAAGTTCACTGGGGTGAGGCCCCTGCACATTGGTCGTTCTGCAGATGAGCTGAGGCACGTGGTATGCAGGGCTCATCCGCTGCTTCAGGTGCGGCAACTTCCTGCTGTTCTCTCTTCCCTACCAGAAATGCCCACAAGCCACTAGGATAGGGGTATCACCAAGACTGGGGCCTTTCAGACAGCTTGAGGGCAGTCCCTGTCAACTGGCTGATACTCTCTCAAGTGGACCAGCCCTGCGTTAGGACTTTACTTACGAATTACTAATCTGCGCTTGTCCAGATGATAATGTCTTCTCAGATTACTGGGCAGACTCCGAGTCCCCTTTAAACCGTCTTAGAGCACCCCATGATGTCTCTCTGTGACCAGCGAGGCACTGAGCCTCCAGCATTGTTTTTTAAGGCAACAAATCTATTTTAAAGTTTCTTGTAAAGATGGCAAACACAACTGCTTTTCTCTTTTTCCTTTTAAGATTTTATGGCCAGAGTGAAGATGGAGATGAATTTAATAATTCAATCCGCCAGTTATTTCTTGCTTTCAATACGCTGATGGACAGGCCCTTGGAGGAAGCTGTCAAGATCAAGGTCTGCATGGCATCAGTGTGGGTAGCTCCTTTAGGGCTGTCAGTGAGGATGGTCAGAACAACTTAGAACTGGATGTGGTGGGAGAAAAACAATTGAATCTTGGTTCATGGATGGCTTATGAATTTTAATATGATGTATAGAAGCAAAGGAAAAAACCCACATTCTAACTTTTAGGTACACATGTATTTTCAAATGTCAGTTTGCCAAATACAAGCTACCTTTTTAGACATCCTTTGAATGGCCGTCGAGACCCCTGTCTGACCCCTGATTTCAGCAAACTGATCATGATGCTGTTGCATATGACAATTTTTTATCTTTATTTCCTTCTTTCTTCCCAGAATCACAAAGTCACCATTA